TTCGACCCAAAGTGGGCTGTGACGTTTCGGCTAGTGGTTCGAACCATCCCATGTCCAACCCTAGCTGCTAGTTAGAAAGTTTGATCTTCCATTCTTTGGTCAACTATTATCCTCCAACCATCTCTCTCTCTCTCTCTCTCTCTCTCTCTCTCTCTCTCATCAAGCTTTTTTGTATGATTGGTGTTTTAGTGGTATTCAGTCTCTAGTCACCTTCCAAAAGATACTCACTACCTTATATCATCATGCTCGCTTAGTCATATCTTGCAAACTTTCGTCCTTGATTCTTATATCTTCAACTTCAACTTTTGCAGGGGCAAACGTGAGATCCTATGCGGTGGCTGCAATGGAGCTGGATTTCTTGGTGGGTTTATGAGCACTTTTGACGATTAATCCCATCTTATTCCCTGGTGATGCAAATGTCTTCCCCCAGAAATTTCATATCAATATCAATTGTGCCTGTAGTTTGTGTATTTTTATGGCTTGTAAGATACTTTTTTTCAAGATATGAATTATACTAGCCTTTAAATTAATTAAGGAAGTATTGTCAAGATTTCTAAAGGTAAAATACAAAGCTCTGGATCAGTTTGTGTTCTACAAATACTGTCATTTGGATCTGAAACAAATGTATACTCCGGGAGTTATCACAAAGGAGATAATTGCGGATTTCGGGATTCCTAGTCCACTAGATTTATTTTTGCAGATAGACCTCTCCGAAATTTTTTGACTCTTTTACCCTTAGAGGAAGGGAAATTTGTTTTTGTTTTTACAAATAGACCTCTGAGAGTAAAACAACGGCACTATAGTGGGTCTGTCATGTAAAAATAAAACTAGAGTAGTAAGTTCGAAACAATGATGCAGAAGGATTCTTTCTGCAACTAACCCTTTATATGATAAAAGACATGATATGCATTCGGCACTGTGAGCCATCCTTTCCTCTGATTCAAAAGAATGGATGAAGGATCAAATAACCCTTCTGTATCTATGCCTGAAATGCCTCCTAAGCTCCTGTCTGCAAGTAATATAGAGGGCTCGAGGCTGGTGTTGATTTTGAGCCAGTTTATGTAACATTAATATTGAACATATGTAATATTCCAACATTTCTGATAGAAGAGCATGGATATTTTATCCAAGCTTCGGCGCCCTATGTCTCGTTGTTCAAATACTTCCTTTTGTCTCCTTAGCTTTAGACCGGCATCGAGGACTACTGAGTTTTACTTCGAACTTCCTAAGTAACGCAAATAAGTCTTTATACCTTGAATCAATTTTATCCCTGCTGCTGGTAAGGTATCCATTATTTTACGTTCCCCTTTGAGAACATCCAGTTTATTCCTTGTTTTTACTGCCTCAAGGCAATGACTGAATCCCTTTTTAAAAGATTTTTGGTTATTACACCCTCAACCATATGATGTTTGACTACAGAAGTTGGAAGATGGAAAATTATATTTAGGATATCGTATTTTCTCCCAACAGCGTGTAGATGTTGTCTGAGTTTCTTTTCTTTTCTTTTCTTTTTTTTTTTAATTCTGTTTACGATGACATTGGATGTCATATTATGCCTATTGGATATCATCTGATGCCTCAATCTCACTCTTTTATCTCGTATATAGATATAGATAGAAAGAGAACTTGTTTTCTTTTTACAAATAGACCCATCGAGGGCAAACGAGTCAAAAAAAATATCACTAAGGGAGTCTATTTGGAATTTGGAAAAATAAAACTAGGGAATAGTAAGAAGCAGCAGTACTACATGAGGTCCATCCTCAATTACCCCTATTTTTTTTAACCAAATTATGACGTTAACGTCACTAATTCCCCCCAAACTAAAGAGCAATAGAATACGGCTAGGCCGCTAGAGGCCTAGTTAATAAGCACGTTGGAAAATTTTCATTAGAAAATTGTAAATGAACCTCCCAATAGTTAAGAAGAAAGAAGAAACATAACAACATGCTAATTAGCAATGTTGTCTCCATATTTTAAATATCATTGATCATTGCTTATTTCATCGCCGTAACAAGTCTCTATAGAACATACTATATATCATAGCACTCCAAGCAAAGAGTCACAATATAAACCGGGGTACCATCTCATCTCGATTAAACTACAACAACACTCAACATCTAAATAACTTCAGTCGCATTGGCGGCGGCGGTAACATATCCACCGCAGTGATTGAATCCATACCAGACTCCAGCGGGAATAGGCACGCGATAGTAGAAGGTGATGGTCTTGCGGTAATTGAGGTCGCTGATAGTCACAGAGTCAGGGATCCATCCGTCGTACCCTGACCGATACAGGTAAACATAGCAGACACCATACCCACACGGCCCCTGCACCTTGAACGTGTCTGTTGAGCACCGCTCGAATGTGCCACTCGACGGGTCATCCAGCCTCGGCACGTACACCTGATACACCAATCAAAAAATTATGATCCAATTATATTTCATCACGAAAAGTTATAGATAACATAATTGCTCTCAAATAAATCTAAATGCGAGCAGGATGTTTTGAGCTATACCGAAGAAGGTAGGAGGGGAGTTTAATAGATTTTCATTGTCTTCTTAAATGACTGAGAAATAAGTGGGTTTTGATAGGAGTTGTATTCTTGTGTGGGCGGCTAGTCCATTTAAGGATAGAACTAGACAAATAAATATTAAATAATCCAAGAAATCATTTATTTGACTGTAGGATTCAAATTCATTTTGGACTGTTGTTTAAGCAAAATAAAAATATTTTCAGTATTCACTTAGCAAATGAATTGAATATGATAATTCATTCACATATTTGACTCTTAGAGAATATATGTTCAATACCAATGCATTCTAACATCTAATGCTTTATTTATTACATATATAAATTATATAACGACGGGTCTAAGTGGTCTTTGATATGCATGAAGTAGTGAAAGTATAACAAAGAACTGGTGAGGCGTGTCATTATGTAATCGAATGCTTTTAACATAATTTTCTAATTGTGAATTTGTACATCAACTCTAGACAGTGGTGGATCCAGCAGAACTGCAAGTATAAATATATGATGTTCTTACCCAAATACTAATGACAACAAATACACACACATGTTTGAACAAAAATATAAGCAACAGAGGTACCTTAGTAAAATTCTTTATAATTGTCACATCCACTACTAATATTTTCATATGTTATATGATTTTCTCATTGTATATGCTATAAAATATCTCTTTTTCAATATAGGTGACCAAATAATTACTCAACTAGTCATCTCCCATGTAGTTGTGCATTTGATTCTTCAATATAATCATAGCAGAAAAAGTTCTTTCCACGGCTGCAGTAACAACTGGGAAGAATATAGCATCTGATTTCACATCTATTATATAATTCTCAAGTTGTTTATCGAGTGCCATAATTTTCACCAAGGAGAATTCTGAAGGATAGAGCTAGGCAAGACAAATAATTTTTTGTTTATCAAAACCAACAAATGAAACTCTTGAGCTCAAACATGATACATAAAAGGAAGGAGTAATTCAGTATTTGACTCGGTAAGCCTATTGTTAAGCTCTTGGAGTTGCGACTTTGTAAAAGAAAAATTTTTTGTTTATCAAAACCAACAAATGAAACTCTTGAGCACAAACATGATACATAAAAGGAGTAATTCAGTATTTAACTCGGTAAATCTTCTGTTAAGCTCTTGAAGTCGTGACTTTGTAAAAGTACGAAGACGAAGATTCAAAGATATAGATATTGGAAGGAGGAGCTTTTGGGTTCGGCAATTGGCATCGATTTCTTTTTCAAGGAGACGATGAAAAGACAAGTCGAACTTTGCATTTGGCAGCAACTACGAGGAGAAGTATCACAATCTGTTACTTGAGAAACAGAAAATTAAGCAGAGGATATAGGACGGTCAAGGAAGTTTTGTTTGGATTGTGAACTTGTGATATAATCTAGGATTTGTTGATGAAATTGCAAATTGAAAGGTGAAGATTGTTTGTGGGAACACTACGATATCTAACTACTACTAAGCTTAACTCTTAGGGGATTTTTAACTACTATTAAGTAAAAAAAATTTAGGGTCAACTGCCCCAGATAATAACTTTAGGAAGGGAAAACTTAAATATTTAGTATGCAAAGAATAGTTGAATGTCCTGCACATTCAAACAAGTAAATTCAAATTCAAATGCAGGGATGTAAATTCAGGTTTGAAATTATAGATGAACGACACATGACACCTCGGTATTTGAGTTGATCCTTATCATTTCCAACCCAAAGCCACCATTATACAGTAGTTGCGAGCCTGTGGGCACCTATCTAGTATAAACAAGAACAACAAGAAGAAAAGGCCTTTAACCCAAGTCAACTATGTTCCTTAGGATCATTTGATACAGATCCATCTAGATTTTACGCTAATTGTCGGCTATCTAACATTACTTTCCCCCTCTACCTGACTTGGGACAGACAATGAAAAACAATCATTATTAAACTATCGCACTGAAGTGTCTAAAAAGTTGTGAGGATGTTCATGTTGCACCTATGTTACTATGGTCGATTTGCAATCCAAAAAGCTTCTCTAGATCTTAACCATCCCACCTACCAGCTTTGGGTGTGTATCAATTTCCTTTGCTACTATAGGTACCACTTACCAGAGACTCTGTAGTCAGTAGTCATTGTAAACATGAGCTTTGAAAAGTATTTTTCTATAGACTAGCACTACACATGCTCATCCTTTATTGTTCAGTCGAGGAATTGAGTAAGCTAACAACACGACGATAAATTCCCCTTATAGCTGATTAATCTAGTACATGTAAGATGCGCAGTCCCCAGTGATGTAACAACAAACATATCAATTTAGCTAGAGTAACAACTATCAAAACCAAATATGCTCGTCTAATGTAAGAGAATGTTATAATGAGTATAAAATGCTCATAAAGCTACAAGTTAACAACCATCACATAGTTTGCATTATGAAAGATTTCTCGTATAAGAGAATATGCTATTGTGAAAATTATAATGTTCAAGAGGAGTTTAGTTCTTGGTGGGTTCGAAGCTAAGTTTACCCTTTTTTTACATATCCTTATAGTTTTGCCAAAGAGCTATCCAATATAAATTCATGTGCAATGTGGGTATTTTATTGAGTCTGATTGCGTTCTAAACATATAACGGTTTAGCATTTTTCTTCATCAAATGATACAAACAGAAACGCAAATACAAATAAGGTCAAATAATGAGTTTGCCCTTTTGTCATTTTTAAATAAAACTAGAAACTAATAAAAATAAATGGAAATTCCTTCCAAAAAGAACACTTCCCAAATAACTTTCGCTCTCTTGGAAGCCCCCAATTTCTAAGATAAAATTTTTCCTCCGTGGAATTAACCCAAAAAAAATCAAAATCAAAATCAAAACAATACCTGATTGCCGTAAGCATCTCCAAAAGAGATGCTGACGTAATCTCTGGTGTACCGAGGAGATGAGCAGCTTGTTGTTATCCTCACCATGTAAGAGCATGCTCTCGCAAATGCCTGCTTCAAATCCTGCGAAAAAGATAAAACAAAACAAAATAATAAATATAAAAATCAAGTTCCCCCTTTCTTGATCAAATTAGTTTAGTAGGGTACCTGTGGTTTTTGGATCTTGAAGGATGGGAACTCTTGCGGATGCGGGTTAACGGGTTCAGCGAGTGAAGTGATGAAGAGGTTGAGCGAGAGTGAGAAGATGATGATTGCGGAGGTTAAACCCATTTTTGGTCTGCAATGAGACGAGCCTCGTCTCTCGTGGTAGGTAGGGATCTTGCCTGCTGGGAAATTTCCGGGTCTTTATAGCAAACTTTCGGACAGCGTAACCTACTGGACACGTGGCTGTCCAGTAGATGAGTACCACCACATCCATACAAACTTAGGAGGCCCTCTTTGGCAATGGCTTGATGGAGGAGATGAAAGGGGTTGAATAACAAAAAAAAAAATATCTAGAGGTTAACAACACCTCATGTGAGGTTTAAGTGAAACTTAGCCTGTCATTTGATGGGTTAACTATTCCGTCTACTGAGACAGTGTAAGATTAATCTGCCCACAGTTATGGTTTGGCGTGGGTCAGGCCGACCGCGGGCTGACCTAGCCCACTCCGCCATGGGTCACGACCCCGCTCGTCTCGTAGTGAGTCGGATCCAAGCCCATGATATACCCGGGTCATGGGCTTCCTCGGGTTCAGCCCCAGACCCGGGATCAGAGAAGTATGCCCGGGCAACGCTGAGCCCGCTCAAGCTAGACCGAGCCCGGCCCTACCCGTCTCGGCCTATGATATATTTTTTGGTTAGTCTAGCTGTTCCTTTAGCTCTTTGGATATGCAGCTAGCTGCCAACAAAGCCAAAAAATCATAGATCTTTAACTCATTGGTCTTTTGGCCCACTGAGAAACAAAGCATCAATCTTTAAGCTCGTTGTTGTCTACTTGGAAGGATTAAAAAGTTTAATACAAGTTTAAAATAGTTTAATACAAGTTTAAGCTACTAAAAAATAAATTAGAAATAATTTTATAATTGTAAATACAAGTGTTATATAATTAAAAAGGTAAAAAAAGAAAACAAAATTGTTGGACAAAAACCCTTGAGTTGTGGGCTGAGTCAGACCCGCTCCGCACCTAGGCGGGTCGTGGGCTGGATTGAGTCCAATCTCAAACCCGGAATTAGAAAAATAGGTCTGGCCCACTCTAAGCTCTTTAGGCCCAAATCAGACCTGACCCGGCCTTGCACCCGATGGGCGCGCGACCAAGCTGACCCCTACCTACAATCAGTAAGGAGAGTAATTCAGAAACTATGTGGGGCCATGAATTGTGGCCACTTCAATAATTAACTTTGAGATGCCACAAATTTCTTAATCGCCACTTCATATTCAAATTTTCTCAATTCCTACAGGAACAAGATACTTGCATCACATCAACCCGGTCAAGAGAACGGCCGGGCCAGGATGGCCCGCCCGACCCGACCCGATCTTAAAGGCCAAAAACGGCCATATTTGGCATTTTGACCAAAATACCCCTAAAATGGCCAAAAAAGGCCAAATTTTGCGGGTATTTTGGTCATTTTTCTAAAAGACTGCCTCTATAAATAGAGGGGGTTTTCATTTATTTTTCTCATCTAAAACTCATATACTTCTCTCTAATACTCTCTAATACTCTATTTTCCTCTATAATTCTTCAATCAAATGGCTTTCTCCTCTGATTATGAAGGGCAAAACCCAACTCCCGGTTTTAAAATGAGTCATCCTACTACATGAGCCATAGCTACTACACCTACTCCTACCGATGTTGATCCTGACTCCGGTGGCGTCGATTCTACACCAAGAGCTCTTAAAAGGCCGAGATTCGATGTGAAGAATTTTTTCGAGAATATAGACTTCACCAGGGATGAACACGGTAGACTTCTCACCAGAAGGCTAAGTGTGCGTTGTGTGACCATATTTTCCAAGTTCATCATAAAAGCGGCATCAACCACCTCAAACGCCATTTAGATAAACCCAACAAAGGTCAGACGTCTCAAGGTGATATCCGACAATCTTTACTCTCCTAATCCTCATCTTTTGGTAGTCTCAGTAGTTGGAATTATAACGCAGTCCGAACCAGAAAATGCGTCATCAGGTTTATTATTCTTAAAAATCTTCCTTTTAAATTAGTAGAAGATGATGAATTTGAAGATATGTTTACAGATGGCTTTTATCCGGCATTTAAAAAAAATTCTCATCAAACTTGTCAACGTGATATTTTAAAATATTATCAGGAGGAACAAGGAAAAATAATTTCTTATTTTCAAAGTTTAAACTGTAAATTTTCTTTAATTTCTGATATTTAGACATCTAAAGCACAAACTGATTATTTATGTATCACAGCACACTAGATTGATGATAATTGGTAAATATTTAAAAGAGTTATTTTTTATTGCATTTGAAGAGTCACATACTGGTATTAATATTGCAAATTTAATAATTGAAGAACTTACAAAATTAAAAATATCAGAAAGAATATTTTCTCTTTCACTAGATAATGCAAGTAATAATAATGTAGTTGTTGATTATATCAAAACATCTCTGCTATTGCCATGTCATGATGATCTTTTTCATATTAGATGTGTTTGTCATATTATAAATTTAATTGTTGAAAGTGCATTTGGTGAAATTAAACTCATGATAGAAAAGGTTAGTTCAGTAGCTTATACTCATAATGCTTCTGAATAAAGAATTAAAAGATGGAAACAATTCTATAAAAGAAAAAAATTTAAAACTCAAGCTAATTCTAAAAGATGTTGACCATAGGTGGAATTCTACTTATGCAATGTTAAGTATAGCAATATAATATAAAGGAATTATAAATGATTTTATTGCTTTCTATACTTCTAGTTCTAGCTCTGGTAGTATGTATGGAATAACTGAAGATAAATGGATAGTTATAAGTATTGGCCTTCTTGTTTTGATGATGATTTAACAAACAATTTACATCAGATATTGTTTGTCTAGTGCTTGTATTTTGTTATTTATTGTAGACAAACAATATGTTGGAGGATGGACGGATTGCGCCATAACGATCATATCTAATGGAGGTTGGTGGAATTGTGGAATGAAGCATTGCATTCAAGTTAAAGATCCAAGATCCCGCTTCATCCACATAGTTTACCAAGTCGAGCTTATTGAAGACCTTCATCTAGCTTGGGTAGAATTTAGTTTAGGTTTTATATTATGTGTGTTAGTACTTTAAGCTCAATTATATACACACATACACGTTTTGGTTTTTGTATATATATATATATAGTTATATATATACATATATGTTTTGGTTTGATTTTTTAGATATGAAACAAATATATATTCATATATATGTTCATATGTTTCATATTCTATCATATTTGAAAATATATTGTGTTCTTGGTTTATGGACTTGATAATATGTTTTTATATCTTTTCCTAAGTCTATAAAGCCATACAAAAGTTTCCAAAAGTTGTGTTTATGTCAAAACATCAAAATTTATGTATATCAACTTTTCATGTTTTGGACATACTTGCAAAATACATGAGTTTTCACAATTAGGAAATGAAATTTAAAAAATTTCTTCGTTTACATGTTTATATTCATATATACAAACATTTCCCCAAGTTTTACTAATTTTGGAGTTGTTTTGTTATTTTCAATTGAATTTACAAAACCGAGTTTTCAGCAGTTTTTTAGAAACTGTTTATCTATGTTCAAATATTTATTTCTCTCAATTGGAAAGTTATTTTTCATAAATTCTTTCTTTAACATGTTAATATACATGCGTAGAACTTTCTCTCAAAATTTCATGATTTTTAGAGTTTATTTACTATTTTTATTTGATTTTACAAAGTCAGATACGATTTACTATTTTTATTTGATTTTACAAAGTCAGATACGCATTTTTCCAGAACTGCAGAAACTGCTTGTGCATGTTATAAGTCTACTCTAAGTCGACTTATCATAAGTCTACTCTAAGTCGACTTGTTATAAGTCTACTATAAGTCGAATTATAAACTGTCTTTCTGCATGTGTTTTTCTTTCTGTCAAGTCGACTTGTGTCACCTGTTAAGTCGACTTATATATAGCCGTTTGAATAGTAACGGCTAGTTTCCAGCCTTAATTATTTTAATGTTTTTAAGGGTTTTGGTTGGGTTTTTGGGGTTATTTGATGAGCCTATAAATACCCCATGTCCTCATACTTCTAAGATAACTACGAGAAAATTTTTAAAGAGTTTTTATAAGTTTGTTTAAGGTATTCTAAGTGTGTTTAAGAGTTTGGTTTGTGAAGATAATTTCACAAGGGCTTGAGGAGATAATCTTTGGTGTTTGGGCTTCAAATCATCTCTCTCTCACTCTTGTCATTTATTGGAGAAGTTTTCTAAACTCAATCTAACTTTATATTTTATTGTTTGATTATCATTTTATTAAGCTAGTGTTTATATTGAGTTTAGTTGATTTTATTTATCTCTTTGTACACACACAACCATTGAGCTTATTGTATTTGCATCCATAATATATTTGGGGTTGTAACATTGAGTGTGAGCTTTCATTGTGTTCTCATCCATAGTAGAGAACAAACAATTATTGTATTGAACCTTATTGTGAGATCACTTTGTAATACACTTGTACACCGAGAGGAGTGTGTGGTGAGAGTCGGGGATCGTTCCAAGAGGAGTGGCGTCGGTTGACGAGCCTAGGGAGAGGTTGTAACCAAGCACTTGAGGGAGACACGGCTAGGTCCAACACTTGTGTGGGTGTAGAGTGTGATTGCAGACTGTGAGGTGTAAACGTTATTCGGGTGAGGCTTCCAAACCGGGTTGTGATAGTGGATTTCTCCCCGGGAGTGGGGAGCGGAGACGTAGGACGGAAGGTCCGAACTCCGTGATCATATTGCTTGTTTGAGTTTGGCTTAGCACTTATAATTGTTCATCCTTATAGCCTTTCTCTCATTATTTATATGATCCACTATTTAGTTCATATTGTTTACCCCTTGTGTTAGTTTTATATCCTTGCATATACTTATATCATATTGTATATCTCTTTGATAGGATATATCATCTTGTGTTAGTTTATATATCCTTGCATATATATATTCATCATATAGGATATATCTCATTGTTCATATTGCTTATCCTAGCTTATATAGTTGTTATATTTCATACTTGCTAGGATAACTTGTTAATTAATTTTAATTGGTATTTAATCGAATTAGATTAGCATAAGACCCTAATCACCCCCCTCTAGGGTCTAACAATAAGTAATTTAAAAGAGATGTTACAAGTTTTT